ATTGCGATGATGAAAATTTTTGGAAAGTCAATTTTAAGCTCGAGTGAAATATGCAGGAATCCACAAGGTATCTGATTGAAGAAATAGTTTTCTATGTGAAAAAGTGCTTTGTAAATGTTTTCATAGAAACAAAAAATTGTACAGCAACTTTTTTAAATTTACCTTTTCGAAGAACATGCTGTAACTCAGAAACGATGATAGATATCGATATGCGGTTTCCACCATTAGATTTGTCATGTAATTTGACCCCCAGAAACAATTATCAGTTTTCATCTATCTGATTTAATGGCAGGAGTTTTCCTTTAAAAGTGTCCGATTTGGCCCACTCTGTACCATAATCGACAGTTTTTGAACTTTTCAAACATTAAATTATCCATTCAAAGCAGGTTTCTTGTATTATACTCTCATTTCTAGGAAAACCAAGTTGAAATGGATCATCAGTTTCTTGTTAGTTGCATTTCTTTCCATAGAGCATACTTTCGAAACAAATACAGAAAGCCGGAAATATAGAAAACCAAATAAGAAACCTAATAATTCTCAAAAACAAAATCCAGTTGCTTCACAAGACAGGAAAGATGAATTGAACTTTGGGGGATTTCCGACTTCACAAAATTTAAATGAAATTATGTCAAACATGTATGGAAGACAGTCAACAGGAGATTCCAGTATAGAAATTTCAAAAATTGACGAAGCTCTGAAATTTGGAATCCATTCTGCAGAAACTCTAATAAATGTTCAAGAACCGTTGTGGTATGAGATGGGTAAGACAGAATGAGTTTGTAATACGAAACTACGCTCTGATGTACTTTCATTTGTATTTCATTTATTTGTGTTTTCATCTATATTTTCATTTTGAGGATTGTATCTTGATAAGGATCACCCTGCGAGTAAAGTGGCGGATTTTGGGAAACCAAACCGAAAAGCTCTGGAATTGTCAAAATATGGTTTTTTGAGGGTTATCAAATCAATTTATATTATATTAGACAATGGAAGTCCGAACCGATAAAATACACCACAAAACATTGTCAACCACCTTCAAACAGTGTCCTGCTATCATATGCAAAAGCACCCCATACCATTAAACCAACAGTATGGTGAACATGCCTATCCACATCAAAATGTGGATCTCTTTCACCACGACGACTTCTTACTCTTGCTCGTAGAAAAAAAACGATCTCTAAGTCCCCTGCGACGACCGGTGCTTCAGCTCTGTGTTCTTGACCTTCTTGGGTACATGCCTGGTAACATCTTAGAACAGTGCGCAAAGATCGATTGATTCTTCTTGAAATTCCTCTAGGTGAAAAGCCTGCCTCACGTAAGCCAACAATTCGTCCTCTCTCAAAATCACTAAGTTGAGAAATACGACGAAGTCTTCGTACTCGAGGCATAATGTTAACAATACGAAACACTTTACAACAAACTCTTTAACAGTTAAAGCTTGAGTAAAAATAAAAACTGGAGAAATAGTAAATGCTAACACAGAAATACTTCATTTGTAGAAGTGTAGAATTTAACAAAAGCTGTATCAGTAAGTATGTATATCAAAAATTATATGTGTAAGTGTTGTATAAAATCAAACTCGATATTTAATTTAATGTTTTCTGTAGCATTATATTATTGTTATTACGAGTAAGTACACATTATGATAGAGATTAAAACTCATTTCCGTCCATAAGAAGTCATACAGAGGCGTTTTCTCAAACTTATGCTGTCGAAAGATTCCAGATTTCTAATTGATCGTCTTCATGAAGAAAGACGACTCAATCAATTCCAGTGTACTCGAACATTGAAATCAACTGGACAGAAGAGTTTTCACTATATTAGTACAATAATATTCAATAATCTACCTCAAGACATTCAGGGCGATATGTCACGTTATTCATTAAAAAAAATTTTATGACATACATTAAAAGTACCCCTTCAGAAACCATCCATGATGTATTCATCTAGGAAGCAGTGATGTTTTGATCTTCACTATTGTGCTTTAATGTTTTACTAATATACTAAGTGACAAAGAAAGGTAAACACCCATTTATGTTGAAAATATTTAAATATAACTTTTTTCTTACATACTTGACAGATAATAACAAACAAACGATTAAGTATTCAGAGAATTTGGATGATCGTGAAACCAGTGAAGTTCAGTAGTGTGTTGCAGATCCTTGATGTCTTGTTCACTCGTGGATACGTCTGGGCATTGTCCTGATAAGGTGGTCTGTTGGGTTATGTCTAAGTGCTGTCAAAATCTGTGGGGGCTGTTGTAGATTAAGCATTCTGCGACTAAGAATATCCCACACATGTTTGATCGATGAAAGATCGGGCGATCTGGGTGGCCATGGTGAGCGGTTGATGTCATGCCGATTCATGAAGTCTAGAGTTACTCTAGACTTGTTATCTTGTTGAAATATGGGGTTCTTGAAGGTCTCAAGAAATGCAAGGACATGAGGCTCCACCACTTCGTGAATGTCATGTTGCCTCTATTAAAGACTAAAGGTGTCCTGCTATATTTCATCAGTTCGGACTTCCATTGTCTAATATAATATAAATTGATTCGATAACCCTGAAAAAACTCAAAAAGATTAACCGAAAATAACAATTTTATTAAACAAAAAAAACTGTTATTTTCGGGTAATTTTTTTATTTTTTTTCTTC